AGCTGAGCACAGCCGGGCTCTCCCCCTGTGCTTTTCCCTCTCTCTTCCCATCCTGGAGCAATCTCAGCTGCCCAGCTGTCCCACGAGGTTCACTCTGTCCCTGCCCTCCATGTGCGGTGAGCACAGGGCCCTTTGCTTTGCTGTTTAACAGCAAAAACAACCCCAGCACAAAGTGCTTCAGCCAGAGTTTCTGCCAAGCAAACCTGATTCACCCCACTGGAGGCACAGCCCCATAAAATCAGGCATTTCTGCAGAGCTCACACTGCCAGGGCAGAGGGATGGAGAGGAAGAAGGGCAGAGCAGGAGGCTCAGGGTCAGTGCTGGCTGCTCTCAGCACTCGAGGTGGGAACACAGCGGGGACAGGGATGGGTTTGGGATCAGCCTCACCCCCCGTAATCTGAGCTACAGCCAGAACAGCACTGACACCTAAAGGGACAAGAAATGAACCATCACAGAACCCTGGAGTGGTTTGGGTTGGGCTGGAAGGGATCATCCAGTGCCACCCCTGCCATGGCAGGGACACTGCCACTGTCCCAGGAGCTCCCAGCCCTGTCCAGCCTGGCCTTGGGCACTGCCAGGGATCCAGGGACAGCCACAGCTGCTCTGGGCACCTCTGCCAGGGCCTCCTCACCTTCCCAGGGAGGAATTCCTTCCCCACATCCCACTGAACCCCGATCTCTGCCATATTTCTAATCCTCCAAGCCTTGGAAACTTGGCTGTGAGCAATGGGATATAATCACCTGTTCAATAATGAGTTCCACTGATTAACATTTTTCAGCTGTTGCCTTTTTCCTCCTTGAGCACACACAATTCCAGGATCCCTGTCCCTGGCAATCAGCTGATCCCAAGGGCTGGCAGGTGCAATCCAGGTACAAGTATTCATTTTTGGATGAGTATTTTACACAGATGAACAATTCAAGATCTCAGCAGGAGCAGATCCTCCTCAGAGGAGCAGCTTTCATTCTGCAAATTCCCCTGGAATCACTCCCATGGACCAAGCAGCCGAAAATGTGACCCAAAGCATCAAAGCAGAGATCCTGTGCAAATGTTGATTCACTCCTGCTTTGAGTCTGGAGTTTATTCAGAGGGATTTTACTCCTTTGTTGGGAATTGCATAGCAGTTATTTGATTGTTGTTTCTTTAATTTACAAATCTCTTTTTCTCTTTACATAACTTTAAAAAAAAATAAAATAAAATAATAAAAATAAAAAATCCAAGCCAGCCTCCCTTGCTCCAGCACGGTTATCCCTTGTGTGCTTTGCTGCCAGGATTTTATAAAAGGGCTTTAACTTTTCATTCACCAGGAGCATAACTCAAGTTTTAATAACACACCTTATGCATGACAAAAATTTGCTTCTGGCGATCATGGTTTCGACCACAAAACCACAACTGGGAGTAACTCCTGGTTAACTCCTTCCAGCCCACGCACGGCAGAGTTACACAGGGTTTAGAAGAGCATGGAAATCAGCAGTAAGAATATTTTATAGTAGGCAAAACATCTCCCCCTCCCAGGCCACGCTGCTCCCTTCCCGGTCCTCTCCGGGAATATTCGAGTCCCAAAGGGAGAGGTGGGGATAGCGAGAAATGGGGACAGCGTGGCTCGGAAACATCAGCCACATCTGGGCAGATGTTCCCTGCTCAGGCCGGGGGTGGCAGGAGAAATGGGGACAGCACAGCTCCGAGACATCAGCCACATCTGGGCAGATGTTCCTTGCTCAGGCCGGGGGTGGCAGGAGACATGGGGACAGCACAGCTCGGGAACATCAGCCACATCTGGGCAGATGTTCCTTGCTCAGGCGGGGGGTGGCAGGAGACATGGGGACAGCACAGCTCGGGAACATCAGCCACATCTGGGCAGATGTTGCCGGCTCAGGCCGGGGGTGGCAGGAGCAGCGTGCGGGGCACCGAGAGCGCTCCGAGGCTGCAGCCGGAGCCTGCAGAGCTCCACCCCGCTGATTATCCCCAAATTCGCAGCTCTTTGAGCCCCTTTAGCAGCCTCTTCTCAGCTTCCTGCCCCGGAGAGTAAACCCAGGGCTGAAATTCTCCCTGGGCTTTGGGTACCAAGAAATTCCAGCTCCCTTATCTCCCGCCGGGAGCCCCGGGGAGCTTTCGGGGATCTCCTGCAGCTCCTTTTGAGCCCAAATATTCCCCCAGGCCCTGCCCTGCCCTGGCCCCGGCCGGGCACAGCCCCCGGGTCCTCCAGACGCTTTTAATCCCCACCGAAATAAAGCTAAAAGCTTTTAAAAATTCGGGTTTTTTTTAAAAAACGCTGAAGTTTTCAAAGCTCTGCAGACGTGTCCTCCCAAAGGATGAATTTCTGCAGAAAGCTCGCACGGAGCCCTTGGCTTTCGGGGGTGTCCCCATCCCTGGGATGGTCAGGGTGACACTGCTGACTGTTCCCATCCCTGGTTAGCTCAGGGTGACACTGCTGACTGTTCCCATCCCTGGGATGGTCAGGGTGACACTGCTGACTGTTCCCATCCCTGGTTGGGTCAGGGTGACACTGCTGACTGTCCCCATCCCTGGGATGGTCAGGGTGACACTGCTGACTGTCCCCATCCCTGGGATGGTCAGGGTGACACTGCTGACTGTTCCCTAACCCTGGTTAGGTCAGGGTGACACTGCTGACTGTTCCCATCCCTGGGATGGTCAGGGTGACACTGCTGACTGTCCCCATCCCTGGGATGGTCAGGGTGACACTGCTGACTGTTCCCATCCCTGGGATGGTCAGGGTGACACTGCTGACTGTCCCCATCCCTGGTTAGGTCAGGGTGACACTGCTGACTGTTCCCATCCCTGGTTAGGTCAGGGTGACGCTGCTGACTGTTCCCATCCCTGGTTAGGTCAGGGTGACACTGCTGACTGTTCCCTAACCCTGGTTAGGTCAGGGTGACACTGCTGACTGTTCCCATCCCTGGTTAGCTCAGGGTGACACTGCTGACTGTTCCCATCATCCCTGGGATGGTCAGGGTGACACTGCTGACTGTTCCCATCCCTGGTTAGCTCAGGGTGACACTGCTGACTGTCCCCATCCCTGCGAGGGTCAGGGTGACACTGCTGACTGTTCCCATCCCTGGTTGGGTCAGGGTGATGCTGCTGACTGTTCCCATCCCTGGTTGGGTCAGGGTGACACTGCTGACTGTTCCCTAACCCTGGTTAGCTCAGGGTGACACTGCTGACTGTTCCCATCCCTGGGATGGTCAGGGTGACACTGCTGAGGCAGAATCAGCAGCCGTGTAATTCCCCGGTCCGTAATTAGCGATAAATGCATCAATCGTAATTAGCGATAAATCCATCAATTGTAATTAGCGATAAATCCATCAATTGTAATTAGCGATAAATCCATCAATCGCACACACTCCGTGAGCCAAGCCCTCGCTCTCAAACCCACCCATTTATTGCTTAGAAATTACCCAAAAACTTCCAAAAAGGGAAAATTCCAATCACAGGTTTTCAATCAATCTGAGCAGATCGATCCCATGATTTACATAAAATAATAATTACTGGGTTTTTAATTAAGAGGAGATCGGCTGACACAGCAGCTCTGTCAGGCTTGTAAACACACACAGGCGTGTGGTTTTCTCCCAAAAAACACCTCGGAAGCACCCGATTCCTACACAAATAGACAGCATTTCTATTTCTTGATAAATATTTTAACCCACAAATCCTTCATTCTGGGTTTTAACCCATTTGGCACCGATTGACAGCAGAATTTCGCAGCTTTTTTTCGCTGTTTCCCACACCCTGTCACAGCAATCTGATATTTGGTGTTTATTTGGATGTTGATACCATCAGCATTCAAAACTCCAAAATATTCTGGGGGTGCCCCACGTTAGAAATGAGAGTTGATAGGTGTTAAAAGCTTTTTCTTATTTTAAAAAAATTTAAATTATTTGATCAGGTCATAGTGTTAATTCATTTACTTAACAATAAAACTCAAACAAACAAACAATAAAAAAAACCACCCAAAAACCAAATCGCAAAACAAACAAAAAAAAAAACCCAAAGAAAGGGGAAAAAAAACTTCCACCCAAACAAACTGAAAAAAAAAATTAAAAAATAATAAAACTCACAACAAAAACAACAAAAAAGACACAAAACAATCCCCACCCCTAGAAAATAGAGATTGGTAAATAGTTTGGAAAGTTTTTTTCTCAAAATAAAGGAAATTAAAGCAGATTCCTGTAACTCCTGTTTGATTTTGCTGGACAGAGACAGAGCAGATTTCCTCCAGATAGAAACCCCATGTGTCACTTTTAGACTGGGGATAAAAAAAGTAACCAGGAATGTGATTTTTAAGAAGTCCCAAATAAAAAAAGGAGTGATTAGTGACTCCTAAGAAGCAACTGATTCCTAAAAGTGATTTGATTCCTAAGAGTGATTGGTTCCTAAGAAGCGATTAATTCCTAAGAAGTGACTGATTTTTAAAAGTGATTAATTCCTAAGAAGTGACTGATTCCTAAAAGTGATTGATTCTTAAGAAGTGACTGATTCCTAAAAGTGACTGATTCCTAAAAGTGATTAATTCCTAAAAGTGACTGATTCCTAAAAGTGATTGAATCCTAAAAGTGATTAATTCCTAAGAAGTGACTGATTCCTAAAAGTGACTGATTTCTAAAAGTGATTGAATCCTAAAAGTGATTAATTCCTAAGAAGTGACTGATTCCTAAAAGTGATTAATTCCCAAAAGTGATTAATTCCCAAAAGCGATTGAATAATCAAAGTGATTAATTCCTAAAAGCGATTAATTCCTAAAAGTGATTGACTCCTAAGAAGTGATTGACTCCTAAGAAGTGATTGACACCTAAGAAGCGATTAATTCCTAAAAGCGATTAATTCCTAAAAGTGATTTATCCCCGGAGCAGCAGCAGCTCAGGCAGGGAATCAGGAAAACCCATCCCATTCTTCCCTCCCTTCCCCACCAGAGGAACAACCCCGGACTCTCCTCCAAACCCGGCAGCGAGCAAAACGATAAAAAAGAGAATGAAAGCATCACTTACTCGAGTTGATTGGACATTTTTTCGGCGGTGGCCGGAGCGGAGGCAGCGCAGGGCTGTGCTCGGGCTGCTCACACACACATTTCCCTGCGAGGTGTTTGATTTATGGAGAGCACAGCGCAGGTGGGGCGGCACAGCCCGGATTGGCTGCAGGGACAGGTGCCCTGGGACAGGTACACCCAGACAGGTGCACAGTAACCCTGTCCCTGCCGGAAAAAGCCCCAGGGGAGAGAGGATAAAGGGGTGGAATCAAGGATTCATGGCTGGGATAATGAGTTTCAGTTTGGTGGATGAGTTCCATGGTTTGCCGTGCCAAGGAGTTGGCATTTGTAAGGAATTGGGGGTTGGTTTGTCCTCTACTCCTTTCTTTATATATAAATACAAAGTTAAAATACATTTATTTATATGGAGTTAGGGGTTGGTTTGTCCTCTACTCCTTTATATATAAATACAAAGTTAAAATACATTTATTTCTATTGAGCTGGGGGTTGGTTTGTCCTCTTCTCTTTATATATAAATACAAAGTTAAAATACATTCATTTCTATAGAGCTGGGGGTTGGTTTGTCCTCTTCTCTTTATATATAAATACAAAGTTAAAATACATTTATTTCTATTGAGCTGGGGGTTGGTTTGTCCTCTTCTCTTTATATATAAATACAAAATTAAAATACATTTATTTATATGGAGTTAGGGGTTGGTTTGTCCTCTTTTCTTTATATATAAATATGAAGTTAAAATACATTTATTTATATGGGGTTAGGGCTTAGTTTGTCCTCTACTCCTTTATATATAAATAAATGGTTAAAATACATTTATTTTTAAGGAGCTGGGGGTTGGTTTGTCTCTACTCCTTTATATATAAATACAAAGTTAAAATACATTTATTTCTAAGGAGCTGGGGGTTGGTTTGTCTCTACTCCTTTATATATAAATACAAAGTTAAAGTACATTTATTTCTATAGAGCTGGGGGTTGGTTTGTCCTCTTTTCTTTATATATAAATACAAAGTTAAAATGCATTTATTTTTAAGGAGTTAGGGATTGGATCGTCCTCTGCTCTTTTATATATAAATAAATGGTTAAAATACATTTATTTATATGGAGTTAGGGTTGGTTCATCCTCTTTTCTTTATATATAAATACACAGTTAAAATACATTTATTTTTAAGGAGTTGGGGGTTGGTTCATCCTCTTTTCTTTATATATAAATACACAGTTAAAATACATTTATCTATATGGAGTTAGGGGTTGGATCGTCCTCTTTCCTTTATATATAAATACACAGTTAAAATACATTTATCTATATGGAGTTAGGGGTTGGTTTGTCCTCTGCTGTTTTCTTTATATATAAATACAGTGATAAAATACATTTCTTTATAAAGGAATGAATTAGGGAAGGAGAAACTTTCCTCTCGTTTCTCCGTGGGAATTTTACTGACAGGAAAAGCTTTTCCTGTTTTTCCTCAGCTCCTCTCACTCCAGAACCACGAGGAGATTCCCCCACCCTTAAAAAATGAATTTTAACCCCCCCTAACTTCATCCCATAAATCTCCTGGCTCAGAAATCCTCTCTCTGGATGTCTCAGGATGTGGAATATCCTTTCTCTGCCTGCCATTCCAGAGGGAATTTTGGGAATGGGCTGCGGGAATAGCGCCCAGAGAACACCTCTGCACAAACTCACCTGCACACGGGGAAAAGGTTTGTGCAATAAAACAAAACTCAGCAGGGCTTGAAGGGCTCTGGCTGGATGGTTTCTGTCATCCGTGTTGCAATGAGGAGGCAGAGGATGGGCTCGGTGACTCACGGTGACGGGATTTGGAAGGCAGGAGAGGATTTGGGCAGGCAGGTCGGTACAAGTCTTAAAACAAAGGGAAAAGGAAAGGTTTCCACCCCTCGTTCTCACCCGCATGGCGGCTGGGTGCTGCTGGCCCCCCGGGCTCCTGGCCCCCCGGGCTCCTGGCCCGCTGCTCGGCACCTCGGGTGTCACGGATCCGGGGTGTCACACCTCTGGGGTGTCACGGATCTGGGGTGTCACAGGTCTGGGGTGTCACGGATCTGGGGTGTCACAGATCCGGGGTGTCACAGCTCTGGGGTGTCACGGATCTGGGGTGTCACGGATCTGGGGGTGTCACAGATCTGGGGTGTCACGGATCCGGGGGTGTCACAGCTCTGGGGGTGTCACAGATCTGAGGTGTCACAGCTATGGGGTGTCACGGATCTGGGGTGTCACGGATCTGGGGTGTCACGGATCTGGGGTGTCACAGCTCTGGGGTGTCACAGCTATGGGGTGTCACGGATCTGGGGTGTCACGGATCTGGGGTGTCACAGCTCTGGGGGTGTCACAGGTCTGGGGTGTCACAGCTCTGGGGTGTCACAGCTCTGGGGGTGTCACAGATCAGGGGGTGTCACAGGTCTGGNCCCTCGTTCTCACCCGCATGGCGGCTGGGTGCTGCTGGCCCCCCGGGCTCCTGGCCCCCCGGGCTCCTGGCCCCCCGGGCTCCTGGCCCGCTGCTCGGCACCTCGGGTGTCACGGATCTGGGGTGTCACGGATCTGGGGTGTCACAGCTCTGGGGGTGTCACATCACTGGGGGTGTCACATCACTGGGGGTGTCACAGGTCTGGGGTGTCACAGCTCTGGGGTGTCACAGCTCTGGGGTGTCACGGATCTGGGGTGTCACAGGTCTGGGGTGTCACAAATCAGGGGGTGTCACAGCTCTGGGGTGTCACAGCTTTGGGGTGTCACGGATCTGGGGGTGTCCAAGATCAGCTGAAGGAGCCCCTGGAGAATCGTGGGCTGGGGTGGGCTGGGAGGGACCTCAGAGATCCCAAGCAGTCGCAGCCCCTGGCACGGGCAGGGCCGAGTCCTGCCCAGCCAAGGAAAGCTTTAACCTTTGGAGTTTGTGGAGCAGCTGATCAATTCCCTGGTGGCATCTCCAAATGAACGAAGCTCCTGGTGCCCACACCGGCAGCTCTGAGTCCTTGTCCTTTACCCCATCCAGGCAGAGAGGATTTCACCGGCTCCGGTGATTGCAGAGCTGCAACATCCCCTCGGGGCATTTCTGAGTTTCTTCCAAGCTTTACAGAAGGAGGAGAAAACGCTGCCAGAGCCAGAGCGGGCAGGGAAAGGGCTCTGAGCTCCCAGGGGAGAAGGGTGACAGAGAAAAGAGAGAGAAATGTGTCTGGCAGGGCTGAGCAGGGCCAGGTTTTGTCTCAGTGCGAGGTGTCCTGTGCCACACTGGGTTTGGTTCAGCTCTGCAGAGCAGCTCCCCCAGAACAGAACCAGAACAGAACCAGAACAGAACCAGAACAGAACCAGAACAGAACCAGAACAGAACCAGAACAGAACCAGAACAAAGCCTCCAGACCTGGGTTTGGTTCAGTTCTGCAAAGCAACTCCCCCAGAACAGAACCAGAACAGAACCAGAACAAACCCTGGGTTTGGTTCAGCTCTGCAAGCAGCTCCCCCAAAACAGAGCCAGAACAGAACCAGAACAGAACCAGAACAAAGCCTGGGTTTGGTTCAGCTCTGCAGAGCAGCTCCCCCAAAACAGAACCAGAACAGAACCAGAACAAAGCCTCCAGACCTGGGTTTGGTTCAGCTCTGCAGAGCAGCTCCCCCAAAACAGAACAGAACCAGAACAGAACCAGAACAAACAGAACAAAGCCTCCAGACCCCTCTCTGCTGGCAAAGCCTCGGTGCCAGCCCTGGGAGGAGGCTGAGGGCCAGCCCAGCGTGGCTGGGATGTGGCACTGGGCTCTGCTCCTGCCAGACAGGACCACCCCTGCCTGCCTCTTCCATCCTCTTGGGCACCTTTTGTGTCTTTTTTGTGATAATGTGAATTTTGTGGCGCCTCGGAGGCCTCCAGGCCTGGACGCCCAGACAATCCCTTTGACTGTGATTTCAGTATTTCTAATTATTATTTTCTCTCCTATTTTTTTTTTTTTCTCATTTATACTCCACCCTCCAAGAGTATCTGCTGAGGGGGTGGGATAGAAGAAAGAGACCAAGAGATACATTCTCTGTGAACAAAACCCTCCCACTTCCCCTCCACTCCCCTGTTAAATATACCCTGGAACAAAAGCCTTTTATGATGCTCTAAAAATAAAGCATGCAGCAGTCAAGACAAACTGCAGGGTTTAAAAGAGAGGGCCAAATTTTGCTCACAGCTACACCCTCTCTAAGGCAACAGGGCTGCTCTTGTGTTTGCCTTGTTAAACCCTCTTTAAACAGCCAGGGGCAGACTGGGATTAGCTGCATGTGAGGGAGGCAGCAGCAGCTCCAGGATGGAGACAGCAGCACCCAGAGGGTCTCCAGCCCTGCAGAGCCAGCTGGGACCACCCCTGGATGTTTAATTCATCACCAGGAGCAGCCTGGTCCTCACATCCCAATTCTGTTTCTCCCTCTGCCACCCGTTTGTGGGGTGACCTCACCTGAGCCATTCCCTGTTCCCAGTCTGCCTTCTCTGCTGTAGAACTTGTAAAGAACTTCAAAGCAAGGACTCTAATCCCTTTAGGATACACGGCTTTTCCCACTGACAGCTGTCAAACATCCTTCCCAGCTGTCCTGTGATGTGCCAGGAATTGTCTTTGACCAAAGGTTATTAAAACATTTCAGCAATTAATAGAGGAAAGCAGCCTGGAGCGGGTTAAAGTGAGATGGGGCTGCTTCAGGTGCTTTTCCAGCAAAAAAAACACACCTTGTGCTATTCAATCCTTTGATATCCAAACCAGATCATCCCTCCCAGTGAGGCTCCCTGTGTCTCCAGAGCCTTTTCCTGGGGAAGGCAGAACAAAAAGATGAACTAAAACTTCCTGGGGCTGCAAGGCTGAGCCTGGCAGCGCTGCCCTTCCCTCTGTTGGCACAGCAGAGCTCCACTGGTGTCTCTGCAGTGCCAGGGGAATAATGAGGGAAAGGAAAAGGAGGATTTGTCCTTCTGGAGAAATCAAGAGGGACAAACCCCTCAGTGGTCCTTTCCCAGCGGTTTTCCAGCCTCTACCTGCAGGATTCCTGGGAATCCAGCTGGCTCTGCTGGATCCCAGCACCACTAAACAACGTGACCCGATGCTTAAATGTCTTTTTAATAGAGTCAGGCCAGTTTGTTATTATCTGTTGTAGCCCAGGGGGCTTTAGGAAAATTCCTGTTGTCCTTAGCAAGTTCTACCAGTTCTCACCCAGTATCG